TGAAAATGGTTTTGGATGTGCGGCTAGAACTTTGCACGCGCTACATTTTGGTGCCAAAATTTTGAAAATCGGACAATATTTAGTGGCACTTTTTCAGTTCCCCGTCCTTTGACCTTGAATTTGACCTTGAAGTTTGACCTTGATGAAAATGGTTTTCGATGTGCGGCTAGAACTTTGCACGCGCTACATTTTGGTGCCAAAATTTTGAAAATCGGACAATATTTAGTGGCACTTTTTCAGTTCCCCGTCCTTTGACCTTGAATTTGACCTTGAAGTTTGACCTTGATGAAAATGGTTTTCGATGTGCGGCTAGAACTTTGCACGCGCTACATTTTGGTGCCAAAATTTTGAAAATCGGACAATATTTAGTGGCACTTTTTTAGTTCCCCGTCCTTTGACCTTGAATTTGACCTTGAAGTTTGACCTTGATGAAAATGGTTTTCGATGTGCGGCTAGAACTTTGCACGCGCTACATTTTGGTGCCAAAATTTTGAAAATCGGACAATATTTAGTGGCACTTTTTCAGTTCCCCGTCCTTTGACCTTGAATTTGACCTTGAAGGTCAAGGTTTATGGGTGAATGGGTTCGATTTTCGTGATCCTCATGGTCCAATTGACCTTGGACGAGGTTTTGGCTAAAATCGGTGCTCGTCGCTGGAAAAGTCGCTGGCGACGTCGCCAACTTCACGGACATTAAAAGCGTACACATTCAAGTTCGAGGAGGCACGGTTAAATATAATCCGATCCGGATGAAACTTTGCATGTGATGTTTTTATGCTATATGGAACCATAAAATGAACTGCCTTTATGCTTTTTCAAAAAATCAGAAAATAACTGTCACCCTACCTATGAGACTATTTGAAACGTTTCCATTTGCGCTGAAATGTGTGCATTACCTAATGACGCTTCATTCCTCATAAATCCATTGTAAAACTGTGTTCTGATCATTTGTCTAGGCATTGCAGCCGCCACATAGTCCCCATTTTCACCGGGCATCCTGACAAATTGACTGTCAATGGGTTTCCACCAACTGGTCTAACGCCGTCAATTGTTCGATTGTGGTCTGCAGCATGCCGCGTAATGCCTCACGAGCTATTCGCCATGTACGGCCTACGGGCGCACTTTATGTCAATACGATACACGCCTGAAGGTCAGCCAGTGTTGCATGCTGCTTGTTTTGTCCTGCTCTGTTCGGCACCCGACAAAAGGCCCCGGTGGCGCCGACCACGGGTCAATATGTGACGCCTAGGTCATCCTAGCAGATCGATAATGATAAAGCGCCCAACTGGGAGCTGATAAAGTGCAGCCAAACTCTGGAGCATTCATCACGTGGAGACGGTTTGGAGACAGTCAGTCACCTGGCCCTGGCTCCTCAGTCCTCTGGTATTTAAAGGGTATTTCGAATGTTCATTGCATTACCAAGGCAACACCCACTAATATTATGTGATGAATAATGAAAATCAAGCTGTATGTTTCATGGCTTTAACCTAAACGTTCACTTCATAACGTATAAGATCGTTCGCGATCTTTCCTCAGCTCACGGCTACCAAGTCTGGTACCTACCTTGGAACCTGCGCTAATTAGCAGCGTCTTTTCTTTCATTCAGCCGACAGCCGAGGACGCTGCTAATTGCGGAAAATGCACGCACGGTGCCGGGGGGGGGGAGGGGGGTTGTCCCATGGACTGACGTTCGCAGCCGCCAGTCGGCCGACTAATTACCGGTTTCCCTGACAACTCGACAACTCACAGCGCCGCGACATCGCGTTACATCATTACATGTCAAACAGACTGTGTCACACGCCGCGACCAGTGCTGGCGGCGTGACAGAAATCAGCGCGATTATCGAGCCCGGAGACTCGGAAGGAGTGACACGGTCGCCGTGACGACGGTGACCGACTTCCAGGAAAAGGGATTCTGCGAAATATGAAATCGTCAAAATTTGAAAGCGAGTAGATATGCGAATAGACAGAAATATCGAGTCCATCAGGAATAATGATGCAATAATCATTTGACCAGCTACGTGTCTTGTCTAAGGCCTTATCTGAAACATTTGTATTTTGTAATAATTTTTCTAACCTAATAAAATGATGTCAAAAGCTCAGACCGAATAGGCAAGAGTCCGAATTAGTGTTCGGGTGACCGGGCGTATTCTCGGATCGCCTGATCAGATGGCCTGTCGAACCACCCACCGTTCTGACTTCTGAGCGAACGGATGAATCAAACACCAGATGCGGGAAGATGTAAAATGAATGATCCGCTGGACCGCTTGTACCTGCTGACGGCGACTGATGCCATTAAAAGGCCTGTTAATGAGCCGGATTTCAAGGTCTTCCATCCATCCCAATTAACCCGCGCCCCGTAGGGGGGGGGGCCGAAACGGCCCCTCCCTGTCCTTTTCGGTCGATATCTCCTAAACGGCTGGACATATCGCCACGAAACTTTCAGGACCCCTCCGGGCATCAATTTTACACATTGTGACCAAAAATTTTTCCAGAGGCTATGATAGGTTGGCCACAAATGACGTCAGAGTGACGTCATGTTCTGTCATTTTCGACCGAAAAAAGACCTTCGCGAGAAGACCTGTCAGGACTACAGCTTTGAAGATACAGAAAAATGATCAAGACATAAAAGGTGTAGAATTGACAGGGCTACAAAACTGCTATCTCGAATTTTTGAAATTTTTGAGTTTTGACCCCCAAAAATTAAAAAAGCATTTTTTTGGATATATTCACCGAAAAATCCAAAAAGTTTTTTGAGTTTCGAAAAAACCGGAATATATGTGATAGTGCCTACCGTCTTCTATCTACATACCAAATTTCAGATCGATACCTCGTTTTTTGGCCAAGTTATAGCGAAAAAACTGTTCAAAAATGATGACGTCAAATTTTCAAACTCAATTTTTGGCAATTCTAGAACTCGTAGAGCAAAACGAAGACCACCTTTAGACTCCCCGTGACGAGCTGCATCGAATCGATACCCATTTTATGCAAAAATATCAACTTTGAAATTTGACCTAATTTGACCTGACCTTGACCTGACCTAAACAAAAACGTGACCTAGGCTGGCCCCAAAGGCTGCCTAACCCACATAATCGCATTTGTCATGTAAAATGGACCATAAAACATGTATCACACGACACATTCATATTGTGACCCCGGTGACCTGACCTCGCTGTGACCTGACCTGGTATCAGTGACCTCAGATAGCAAAGTATGTGTTTGACGAACAATGTACCATCGATGGCTTTCAATAAATTACCAATTTACTCGCTTTCACAGCACATTTCTTGAATTGCCTGTGAACGGTGAAAATCTGACCTTTGACCTGACCTGTGACGTCATCGGTTTGACCTAGGTCAATGAAATTTGGTCACAAGGTAGTTCCCGGGTGGGGCTATCGAACGCCGTTTGAATTTTGAAAATCGGCCGGTAACTTTCCGAGATCTTAGGGGGGGGCCGAAACGGCCCCTCCCCTACGGGTGGTAGGGTCCGCCGGTAGCCCTACGGGGCGCGGGTTAATTCACACGGCAAAACGAACCACATCGCTCCGATCGTCAAACAGGAAGAGACCTTCACTCGACTGGGAAACGTCCTGGATTCAGCCTGGCCTCATACCAAAACGTCGGACAATAGCCGTAACGGTCAGCTGGCGGACCGTCTCCGGCGCCGTGGAGCGGAGCAGGGAGTCTAGTCAGCCGCACATCCCGTGATTTCACGGCTCGTACACGGCACGGCCCGCGGCTGTGCACTGCGTGCGGCGCGTGTCGCTCGTTGCGTGTGAAGCTCTGTGTCTGAGATAGCCGACTGGCGTGTCGGCCGACGCGTCCCGGTGATCCCGGCACCGCGCGCTGCCCGACACCGTGTCACGGACACCCGTGTCACATATGTGTCATATATATGTGTCACGGGCCCGGGGCCACAGAGGTGTTACGGACACATGTGTCACGCAGATGTGTCACGGACACGAGACAGAATGCCTGGCCGTGGCCACGTAACCGCACTCCTCTGTGGGTTCAACACAGCAACCTGCATATTGCATATTTCACAATCCCTGCAGAAACTGGCAGTGGCCTATGTTGTATACCGAAGCAGGCGCAACAGTCCTCATTGGTATGCGGTCGCTTATGTAGCTTCATACCCGTCGCTATGGCGCCAGTCGACAACAGACCGACACAAACACTCGCGAAAATCCATACTTTCTAATAACCAGGAAATTGACTAATGATCCGCGGATCTGCTTACTGCTTAATTTCAATCGTCTTTTTGTGCACTGACATCTGAAAAGGCTGGAAGTCGTTAAATTCTGTCAGGTGATTGACATGAGCATATGCGCTTATGCTACGTTCGTGTCGTGCAGGGTTGGCCAGGAGTGAGTACCTAATGGATGTGAACTGTAATGCTAAGCATTTTTGCTTATCATTTTCTTTTCTATTATTTTGTGCTCGTTGCATCACCACGACATGCGTAATATTTGACTTTGTTGGTTTGCTTTTAGGCACGGGCAGCTATTCGTACTTTTCGTGCGTGCGTACCACGTATGCACCTGCACTCGCTGAGACCGTCATGTTATCATCCGAATGTCATTTCGCATAAGTTTGCTAAGTGATTGATTGTTGCCGACTGACTTGACCCGTTTTTGGACCTCGCCCGTGCCTATATGATCGGTACTCGCTGGAAACTTTGGAAAGACATCCCTCCCAAGCTCCTAATGAAACGTCTGTGTCCGATCGCTCCTTCGCGGTCCCGGCGGACGGCTGGCACGACGGTCGTTTGGACCGGGCCGGGCCGCCCACCCTGTCCGTAAAAGGCCGTCTGACCTTCCGCCTCCTCGCCGGTCCCAGGGTGATCCCTGATAGAGCTGCTCGGTAACGCCCGATCGTGACGTCACAATGACACATCGGCACCGTTTCAGGCCAAGCCGGCGGCGGCGGCGGCGGCCCCGGCAGCCGCCCCCGCCCGCGCGCGCCGCCCGGAGCCGGCCGCCGAGCCGCGCAAGCCGGCCGCCCGCGCCGCCCCCGCCCCCGCCAGACCGCCGCCCACAGCACCAGCCAAGGAGAACAGGGTAAGCGACGGACGATGACTGTCGTGATAGCTTCCTCGGTGATTCTGCGTGTGTGATGTATGGAACGATAGTTTGTGATGATGCTCGTGAGTAGACGCAAACGCAACGGCCAGTTCGAGCTTAGATGCTTTGAAGAGAGTGGGTAACATATGACCGCTGCGGAGTGCTTGATTGCCCATCCTCACTCTCTTACCGACCTGGCCAAAAAGAACAGTGCTTGTTTGTCTCGCCTGGGCCGCAGCGGCCTCCGCACGCGAGCGCCAGCCTTGGCTGCACGGTCCGCCTTGTGCGACCAGCACAGCTCGGCCACAGCGCAGAGTGGGCTCCTTGTAAGGACGCGATCCGGCGACTAGCCCGCCCACAGCGGACAGTTGCTCAACACAGCGGGGACGGGCAGCCCAGCTCTGCGGCCGGTGGTACTGGCGGGGTCCACCGCGACTGGCCTGTGACCGGCCACTCTGCACCAGCAGACCTACCCTGTTTGGTCACAGATATCACGAGCAGTCCCTAAATCAGAAGGAGGGACAGAGGGCACACCGGAGCAGCAGTCAGCCGCCATCTGTGCAGTCACAATGACATTGACGTGACGGGCGACTTAGCCCACCCACAGTTCCGACAGTTCACCGGCATTGCGTAGGAAATGCGGATAGCCTTGAGCGCGCATCCCGAATACGACGGATTTGGTGCGCCGATCTGAGATATCTGACGGGAAATTTATGAAAGGAACGTCATCAATCACATGTTTTGAAGGTGACATCTCACAGCTCTCAAGGTTTACAGGTTGAGACGCATCAATCATAGAGAGCACGGGATAAATATGATGTTCATTAATTTGGCACGTCACTGTGCTACCGCGGGCCCAGAAATAAATGAATTAATTTGTTAATGGACCACGGGATGGTTGTATGAGTCATTGCCTCAGTAGACAGCCTCATTCGCGCTACGCCCAGGCGATAGGGGCCCGCCCGGCAGGTCGTGGGCTTTTTATGATGAAGCAGCACGGAATGGGTGACCTCTTAACTGCTTCCAATTATGAACTGTTGTCGAATCATGCCACCAAACGCCACAAGCGTACGTCTTTGGGGAGAGGTTTAAAATATTCAGATTAGCTGAAAAGAGAATTATTTGATCAGAATCAAAAGGCAAGCCTTTTAATGCGTTTTAAATCACATTCTTCTGCGCTTACCTCAAGCTCAATGTCACAAAATTGCACCGTACTGACATTCTGTCTGTCTGAACCAGCCCCACTCCCGTCTTGGACTATCCAGTCAGTGTCATGGCCAACACGCCATATGACACGAGAAGAGCACACTGTCAATTGCCGTCCAAGTGACGAACCCTTCTCCCCTTTTACAGCCACCGGCGCCTCGTCCGCCGCCGACGGATCCCAACATGGCCCAGTGCCCGATCTGCCAGCGCCAGTTCAACAAGGACCGGCTCGAGAAACACCAGACCATCTGCGAAAAGTCCTCCAAGAAGAAGCGCAAGGTGTTCGACCCGGTCAAGATGCGCGTCAAGGGCACAGAGTCAGAGAGCTACCTGCGCAAGATCAAGAGCAAGAAACCTGAGAAGGAGGTGAGGTTAAATGGAGGGATGGGGACTGAAGGACTACCTACGTGCGAGACCTCTCCTGCGTTGTGATAAGTAGCGCTGGCCCCCGGGTGTCAATGCCTGTAGATAATACAATGAACTTTCGAACCGTATCGTTTGTTGTAACTGGTATATTTCAAGCTGATTTTAAAGCGAAAATCACAGCTATCTCTAATAGTTGCTGACCATGAGAGCTCATTTATCGTCGGTACATTTGGTCGCTGTCAGATCAATTCTTTATCTCTACCAATAACATTATGTGCCGTGTTTCTACATATGCATTTATTTCGATATTTCGATATGCAGGGAAGGCAACTGCGTGTTTACTAAAAAAGAAGCCCGACAATTTATGCAGTTCTGTGAATCCCGATCACATCCTCCGTCACGTGCCCAACTGACTGCCACCCTCCGTATCGCCAGGCTCCGAAGCCGGCCAAGAAGGACTGGCGCAAGCAGCACGAGGAGTTCATCCGCAACATCCGCGCGGCCAAGAAGGCGCAGCAGCACCTGGCCAACGGCGGCAAGCTGGAGGACCTGCCGCCCCCGCCGCCGATGGACACCTCCGACTACGTGCAGTGTCCGCACTGCGAGCGGCGCTTCAACGAGGCGGCCGCCGACCGGCACATCCCCAAGTGCGCCTCCATCTCCAGCAACAAGAGCAAGCCGGGCACCGGCCGCGCCTCCGCCGCCGCCAAGAAGCCGGCGGGCCGCGTCACGGCCGCGCCCAGGCTGCGCCGCTAGAGCGTCCTGGGTCGTCGACGGTGGCGCCCCCGGTAGGGGTGCCAATGACTGGCTCAGCCACACACCGAGGAGCTGACTTTCAAATAGGACGCTAGCGGGGCGAAAATGATACCCGACTTGTGACCCAAGAGCAGTGATGGTGGGACTCGGTCTTTCGCCACAAAAGCCTGACAGGTCCGCTTCATCCCCTGAAGAGGGTAAGGATGGTCGTTTTAGAGACCGACAGCGCGGTTGGGATCACGGCGTCCTGCATTATGGTGTAGCAGACAGCTTAGCCACCCTTCCCTTCCCCGTATACTTCACCGGCCTGAGCCTGTCGGCGGCTTCTCGCGTTGTGCTTGAAAGCAGCACATCATTTTATGGTCTTCCACGCACTATACCCGACCTCCATAGAAAGTCATTCAGTTTTAGCTGCTTCTAAGCACCAGCTGTATTTGTGATAAGTTTCCTACGCATCTCCTCCGCGATGCTTAGTTCTCCAACTTTATTTGGTTACGTTCGACCGTTTGAATCACGTTTACGTAGCTATCTAAGTAAGACTTCCTGAACCTTCAATGAAAAGCAAGAAGCGGGTCTCATCAGAGGAATGCATCTGTTCATTGGTCATCGTAATATGATCCCCAAGAACAAGGTAATACAACGAGGTCAATCATCAGGCCAACATCACTGAACTCATCGTTCAACAGTGATGCAAGAACAAACTTAGCGACTCCAAGGCTGGTCGTTTTCTCTTTGGTTTCAGCAACCGTGATGCGTTGGTAAATGTGGAGCCCGCAGTCGTAAAAAACTACTGTCATTATGTACATATATGACTGTTGAATCGAACGCGACCAAAGTAGGTAGGAGGACAGAGCGAATATATACATTTGAATGCGTCATCCGAAGTTATTTATGACGTCCATAACCGTTGACTGAATGCTGTCTCGAATTTCTGAGCGATGGAGTCTGGTCGCTTGAATGAGTGCTGACATTGTAAGATGCTGTGCTGCGTAGTAGATGCGGTGAAAGCATCCGATGCATGCTTGCTATATAGTATTACGGATGGATGTTCGGGAGCAACGAAGCCTACTTGAGCAGAAACGTCCATTTCTGTGATACGTTGGTAACTGTGGCGCGCGCGCCCTTAGACTATGCGAGAGCGATGTGGCATGATGATGATGCAGCAGGTGGAACTATGGTGGATGTAAACGCGGAAGTGTTCCTTCTGGGCGTAAGCGCTGTTTCGAAGTCTAGAGCGATCGCGTAATATCCATCCTCATTATCTAATAGCACTTCACGAAACCGCATCACTGACCAGAGACTGGTGAGAACAGTGAAGGGATTTCAATTAATGACCGCATTTCACTGGTCTGTAACAAGTCAGCTTCAGTAGTACCGTGGTAGCCTTCATCGGAAGGAGAGACGTGACTTGCGAGACGCAATGTCAGGAGCGCTGTGGTATGTGGAACTGTGGATGCTTGTCGTCTTGACGGGGCCTGTCTGGACGCAGGTTTCGCATTTGAGCGGAAGCTTAACTCCTCGTACGCGTCGATAATTTGTATAAAATAAACGGTGAAAACCCCTCCAGTCGCGTGTGCTCAAAATCGAAACATCATGGCGCGGATCCAGGATCGTACGCCATATGCTAATGTGGCGATTGCTCATATGGAAATGTCCGTCACGCAAAACCAATACTGATCGGTCGTCGCTGAAATAGGTAAGTAGCCTAAGAAGATTAAGTACATATCATTCGACATCAACGTAAGTAATGGTGCGGATAATATCCCTCCCAAAAGGACAATTTTTGAACAAGGTCGCTTATTTATTGAGAGCAAAAAATTCATCCAGCACTATCACGCTGCACGGAACCATGCTGTTACTCATTGACAATGTGTGTATGCATACGCACACACAGCTGACGCCTGACAGACAAGTGCCCCACGCATCCTAGTAAAAATGCCGACCAAATGTTACCAGTTGCAATCAAAACGTGAGAAACAAGGCAAGCAAAATGGATATACATGACGACGAATGCCTTTCCAAAAACACAAGTAACCAACAATGTGCACACGAGTTTGGTGATGCCAACATTACCAAAAATTTACCGTTCAACGCAGCAGTATGACCCTACTGAGATACAAGACCAACACATAGCTCCTATCTCCCAGCAGCTGGCACCCGCTGACTCACTGACGCAGAGCAGAGCCGGGGAGCCCCGTCCCAGACACCCTGCGTGCGACACATCGGCGCAGCGCCATAGATAATACCGGGCAGTCGCAGCATCCTGCGGCGGGCAGCGCCATCATGGGTAACTACACACCTGCCTCACAAGACGCTCCTTAACCTAATCTTTGTACAGTTGCCTTCGGGCCCACATCGCGCTGCCTCTCTGGCTCGTCTCTCATATTCCAGCATCCAGCAACGCGGGATACCCTACCTTCCAATGACCATGTCAACAGACACATCACCAAACACTTTCGTTCGGTCGTTCACACTCCTGACACAGACCCAGTTCGGTCGATCGCATTTCTTCCTTCGTTTCACCACCATCCTGACGGCGGCCGGCGCGGTCGGCCCCCTCACTCGAGCGTGTCCCTCTCGCACACGCCCATCTCCTTGTACGGCTTCACGGCGAACGTGGGCACCGTGTCGCGGATGCTGGGCGGCAGACACTCGCGGAACCGGTCGTGCTTCTCCTGCGGCATGTTGAACGCCAGCAGGCTCTTTTTGAGCCAGCAGGCGCGGCAGCGCGTGTCGGTCGAGTTGCGCGGCACCAGCACCGGGATGTGGCACTGGCCCAGTCCCAGCTGGCACTGCACCGGCTGCGTCTGCGGCTGGCGCGCCACGAACTTGCGGCACGCCTCGCAGGCGAACGAGCCGTACATGCGGCACTGTTCGGTGTACGTGTAGTACTTGGTTCCGCCGCAGACGCCGCACGTCACGTAGCCGGGCGAGGTGCTGGCCGGCGGTGGGCCCGTGTCCAGAGGGGGGCTGCTGGCGGCAGGCGCGGGCACCCGAGTCACAGTCACACGGTAATCAAAAGAGGCCGCTCTCCTGTACATACTGTAGTCAGTCTTGAAAGTACCGCTGTATCAGTGCGGTGGACTTATCAAGCCCGACTGAGGAAAGGCTACTAATTTGAGAGTAACGAGCCAGGTGACCTGGGGGATGGATAAGGATTCAGTCTTGTTCAATGATTCTCCAATTTAGCAGCCTTTCCTCGGTCGGGCTTGATGGATCCACCTCACCGATGAGCGAAGACTGACTGTACGGTACATCTGACACAGTAACACATGAACATCGTAAGAGGCCGCTCAAGTAGAATATGCATATTTTTAGACCCCCAGCTTATTAAGATTTGATTACGCGCTCATGATAACCCATTCAAGCCATGGCGAAAACGATATATGACATGTTGTTGGCATGTGATTGCACTGTGAAACAAAAATAAAAGGGAATGACAAAAAAGTAAAATAATGTATGCAGAGTCGACTGTAGAGTAATGCCAGGGACAGATACTATAAATTTCAGTCCACGGGTGATGATAAACAGTAGGCCCAACACTGGCTTGAGTTGTTTGTTGATTGCAGCTTTAGGACGCAAACAGAAGCTCACGGATGAACGTTAAAACCATGGTAAACGGTACAGGGCTGCAGGCCATGGCGTGAGCCAGAAGGTGTTTTTTCGCTGAATATGGAACGCCTTTCGGCAGGCTCAGGACCTCAAGTATTGGAACTGTGGATGTTTGAGCACCGCAAATCCGCCGTCCCAGAGCGCCGGATTGGCTCTGACCTTGACCCCTGCCGTCTGTTGTGGGCTGGCCCCAAAGCGAAGCCGGCGAGCTAGGGCGGCGAATTTGCGGTGCCCGAACACCTACAGTTCTTAACAATTTTTCACCTACGTCTTTTACGACCTAACTGCATTCTATAAATATTCAAATTGCCTGAAGAGGACAGGAACACTCAGGGGGAAATGACATACGGAACAGCAAGTAAGGAAAGGAATACTTACTGGAGACGAAAACGAAGGATCAACTACATAGGTATGCCAAGGCAAACAAACGCAAACGCATCTGACGCTTACGCAACAAAATGTCCGATCGAATTTATTGTCCGAACGTTGATCAATTATGTCTGCTATTGACCAATTGATTTACAAAAAAAAAAAACGAAAACAAACAAACAAGAATGCAAAGGAGTGCGCAAAGACCGAGCTCTCTATATTCAACAACAAACCCTACCAACTTTTACATCCGATATAATTTGTACATACTCTGACATCTACCGAATGAGCGACAAATTTACACTTAACCAATTTTCAGATGCCACATACAGAGACAATGTCTCTGTATGTGGCATCTGTATGTGGCAATGGCCAATGATTGTAGAGCACCCAAGTTGTTGCCACGATACCTAACTACAGATCTCGACCAATGCCCTGGTCAGCGGCTGGCAGACAGCTCATGAAAGCAGAGTGAATTGGATGAGCACAGCCGCTGCAGCGTCAAGTTCTGCCCTTAGCTCTCCCCTTCTCTGACCCACAACGTTCTGTTCCGCCTTTGGCTCTCCCTTCCGGCCTGTCCGCGGCAGTGTCACCTGCGCTCAACACTCCCTATTCACTGTCTAGTCACTAGTTCCGGGTTACATGACTGTCTCCAGCACCCCTCCCCCTCCCTCTAACTAAGTAATCTTGCCTCTCACTGGTCAGACCAGCGGTGTCATATTCTGCCCTCAGTCCCCCATCCTGTCCCCTCACCGATCCTGACCTGCCAACAGCTTGACCCACCCCCGTCCCAGTCCGTGTCACCGAGCCTCGACTGACCTGGCGCGCGGCAGCGGCATCGGGTCGGGCGGCTGGTACACCCGGTACTGGGTCTGATGGTAGATGGGGTCGCGCTGGCCGGGCCGCAGCGCCGGGATCTCCGACGGCAGCACGGCGTACTCCTCCGGCTCGGCGCCCTCCTCCTCCTGCTGCTGCCGCCGCCGCAGCTCCTGCTGCTGCTGCTGCTGAGAGCGCGACAGCTTCAGCTTCATCGGCGCGCCCGACACGGAGCGCACGGCGAACGTGTCGGCCGTGCGCGCCGCGTGGACGGCTGCCGAGGAGCCGCCGCGACCCCGACCCCGGCCGGCCGGCGGCTCCGGCTGCCGCGTCCGCAGGTTCTCCTGGGGGCGAGGAGACACGAAACTGGTAAGGACGGAGACAGCTGATGAAACCTGGCAATAAAGTAAAACAACATTGCGGTTGTCCAAAACAGCAGATTACACAAAAGTCTGAATTTGGAAGGCATGATCCATCGCTGTAGGGGAAGTTGGTCTCATGATCGACAACGTAAATAAACTACCACAGCGTCTGCACTTGCAAGCTTATGAGCTCATCCATACACAAAACTGTCAACCAACTCATTTACAACACATCTCAGTCTCCCGCCACAACCCACTCAGGCATACTGAACACACTGACCTGGAACTTGCTCCAGGCCTTCATGGCGTGCTCGCGATGGAACTGTTTGAGATGGTGCAGCACCGACTGCGGATCGCGGAACTTGGACTGGCACACACGGCACACGTACGCCTCCTTCTTGCCTGTAAGATGCATCACGATACGGCATATTACAGCACGACAGATTACTTATAACCGTCTCAGACCATGGATCATAGACAATTATGGATTCATCACGTTCACTTTGATATTTGAGAAACTGTTTCAGACGTCATACGTCTCTCACTACGTCTCTCAGTACGTTACAACAAGCTATTGCGACGTATAACTGAGAGTTGAATTATGAGAGCGAATATTGTCCGAACAGTCGATGGACCACTGACCGTCCTGTCGCTTTTTGGCGGCCTGCGGCGGCGGCAGCAGTCGGCGGGGCGGCGCTGGCGGCCGGGACGCGGCGCCGTCCTCGTCGGAGCTCGAGTCCTCCAGCCGCCGCGGCTGCTGCTGCTGTTGGTAAAACACGGGCGGAGAAAATGTCAAACACGCTGAAAAAGACTGGACGCTACAGCGCTCATAATTTTCGGACCTATCGTGAATGTTCATGACATTAATACGACGCCAAATTTTTGTGGGGTCATAACAGCACTATACACCAGATAACCGACCGAGTCTGCTTCTGCCAGCTATGCCTCACAGCTCATCCAATTTCAGCTCAATCAAACCATTAACCACACACCGTTATTATTCACCAGGGGAGTCCCTCCTTACCATCTTTATTGCCTACCTACCATTCCACACCACACTAACACATTCCAGTGCCATTCAATATAATACCAGAGGGTTCATCTCCCGCCACGTTCAGCTATTAATAATGAGTAAAGTAATTTTGTGTTCACCCACCTTCGTCGGTCGCACCACCAGTGGCGGCACTCGCGGCTCGCCCCCGGCTCCGCCGGCGCTGCGTCCGCCGGCCGCCGCCGGGTCGTCATCGTCACACTCGTGTTTGTCGAGGTCGCGCCGGCGGATAAAGCTGGTCTGGCACAGCGGGCACGTGAACCTGGCCACAACCGAGGAGCATAGAGATGTGTCAGCAGGACGGACAGGACATGGCACTTCTTCATTCACGACATTTGATCATGTCATCTTCCCTC